GCAACTGTGGCCTATAATTAGTATCAAAGTCTACCTTAGGAAAAGTATTCAATTAATATTTATTATCAATCAATATTTATGATATAAATCTTTTGCAATTTAAAAACATTTGATTATATGAGAGACACAGTCTGCCAAAACATTCTTTTTGTGTTTTGATGCTGCCTTTTACATGCACTGAAACACCAAAAAGTGTTTTCACAACACTCTCTTAAAAACACAATTATTGAGATTGAAGAACCACTTTGGGTGTTTCAGAGTACTTCCATTCTGTTTTAAAATACATTCAGTGTATCGTAACACTTACATTGTGTTTACATTCAAACACCCTCCAAACACTAGATCTCGCACTACGTTTTATGGTTTTACTACACAATGATGGTGTTTTGAGTCTTTCTATTTGAACAGTGTACCTTGACTTGGAAGAGTTGCAGTGTTGGCCTTAGCCAGCTAGCTAACATAAATAGTATTCCTCTCTGTTTGAGTCAGGATGTTGAGGAGGTTAAATGACATGCATTAGCTAAGTGAAAGGTAAACTAAGAAAAAAAACCCCCAATAAATCTCTCTCTCTCTCTCTCTCTGCTTCTTCTCCTTAATTTTTGAAGAAACCATTCTCTTTCTCTCTCTCTTTGAGTCAACTACTCACCACACTTTATGTACTGCAGTGCTAGCTAGCTGTAGCTTCTACTTTCAGTACTAGATTCATTCTCCGATCCTTTGATTGGATGGACAACATGTCAGTTCGTACTGAAAGAGCTCTGGTAGGTTGGAGGACGTCCACCGGAAGTCGTTATAATTACTGTGCAAGTCTATGGAAGGGGTGAGAACCATGAGCCTCCTAGGTTTTATATCGAAGTCAATGTACCCAGAGGAGGACGGAAAATAGCTGTCCTCCGGCTACACCATGGTGCTAACCTGGAGGGTGCTGTTGAGGCAACTGTAGACCTTCATTTCAAAACAGTGTGTGTTAATCAGTTAAAATATTTAGTATAGTAGTATCTAAAAATGATAACTTTATTGTTTTACTATTTAAATGTTTATGAAATCCACTGAATAGGATGGACCTCCCCTTCCTCCTTTGAGGAGCCTTCATTGCAGTTTACACACACAAAGACAAAGAATTGCAATCCGACATACCGTACAGACAAGTAGACAAACACCCAGACGTCTTTGGGGTACGAGTTATTTTTATCAGATTCTCTGACTTGTGTTGTGATGCGTTACTTATAAATATTGTATCAGCAAGGTTCTCTGCTTGCATTACTATCAGAGTGCAGTAGGGCTGACCACATTTAGTCGACTGGTCGATTGTTTGGTCAATAGGCTGTTGGTCGACCAAGATTTCTTTAGTCGAGCAGTAGCAAAACATTTAATAAAATCATGGTGTACAAGACAACTGTCTGATTGGCGCCTGTCTGAGTGGACTAATCGATTGTGGAGACCGTGGGGATGGTACAGTCCATCACTCTAAGACATGTGTTACTGAAAATGTATATGGTTATATTACATAAGAACAATGGTGCAACACTAATACAAATGATATTATTTTAAAACAAATGCGCTTTCTCCTGCGTTGGATAGTGGTTGCTGTCCGCGGTTCTGAAACACATCAGTGCGCTGTTGAATTGGTGCCTTTTCCAAGACTGCGTTGCTACAGTGCATTCGGAAAGTATTCAGACCCCTTCACTTTTTCCACATTGTTTAACGTTACAACCTTATTCTAAAATTGATTAAATCATTTTTCCCCTCATTAATCTACACACAATATCCCATAATGACAAAGCAAAAAACAGGTTTTTAGAAATGTTTGCAAAATGTTTGCAAATTCCTGATTATTATTTGACCATGCTTGTCACTTATGAACATTTTTGAACATCTTGGCATGGTTCTGTTATAATCTCCACCCGGCACAGCCAGAAGAGGACTGGCCACCCCTCATAGCCTGGTTCCTCTCTAGGTTTCTTCCTAGGTTTTCGCCTTTCTAGGGAGTTTTTCCTAGCCACCGTGCTTCTACACCTGCATTACTAGCTGTTTGGGGTTTTAGGCTGGGTTTCTGTACAGCACTTCGAGATATTAGCTGATGTAAGAAGGGCTATATAAAATAAAATTGATTGAAAATTGATTGTATAGAAACATTTAAAACAGAAATAGCTTATTAACATAAGTAGTCAGACCCTTTGCTATGAGACTCGAAATTGAGCTCAGGTGCATCCTGTTTCCATTGATCATCCTTGAGATGTTTCTACAACTTGATTGGAGCCCACCTGTGGTACATTCATTTGATTGGACATAATTTGGAAAGGCCCACACCTGTTTATATAAGGTCCCACAGTTGACAGTGTATGTCAGAGCAAACACCAAGCCATGAGGTCAAAGGAATTGTCCGTAGAGCTCCGAGACAGGATTGTGTCGAGGCACAGATCTGGGGAAGGGTAACAAAAAATGTCTGCAACATTGAAGGTCCCCAAGAACACAGTGGCCTCCATCATTCTTAAATGGAAGAAGTTTGGAACCACCAAGACTCTTCCTAGCGCTGGCCGCCCCCCAAACTGAGCAATCCAGGGAGAAGGGCCTTGGTCAGGGAGGTGACAAGAACCCGATGGTCACTCTGACAGAGCTCCAGTTCCTCTGGGGAGATGGGAGAACCTTCCAGAAGGACAACCATATCTGCAGCATTCCATCAATCACGCCTATATGGTAGAGTGGCCAGACAGAAGCCACTCCTCAGTAAAAGGCACATGACAGCCCACTTGGAGTTTGCTAAAAGGCACCTAAAGGACTCTCAGACCATGAGAAACAAGATTCTCTGGTCTGATGAAACCAAGATTGAACTCTTTGGCCTGAATGCCAAGTGTCACGTCTGTAGGAAACCAGGCACCGCTCATCACCTGGCCAATACTATCCCTACGGTGAAGCATGGTGGTGACACAATCATGCTGTGGGGATGTTTTTCAGCGGCAGGGACTGGGAGACTAGTCAGGAACGAGGGAAAGTACGGAGAGATCCTAGATGAAAACCTGCTCCAGAGCGCTCAGGACCTTAGACTGGGGCGACGGTTCACCTTCCAACCGGACAACGACCCTAAGCACACATCCAAGACAGGAGTGGTTTCTGGACAAGTCTCTGAATGTCCTTGAGTTGCCCAGCCAGAGCCCGGACTTGAACCTGATCGAACATCTCTGGAGAGACCTGAAAATAGCTGTGCAGCGACACTCCCCATCCAACCTGACAGAGCTAGAGAGGATCTGCAGAGAAGAATGGGAGAAACTCCCCAAATACAGGTGTGCCAAGCTTTTAGCATCATACCCAAGAAGATTTGAGGCTGTAATCACTGCCAAAGGTGCTTCAACAAAGTACTGAGTAAAGGGTCTTAATACTTATGGAAATGTGATATTCAAATTTTTAAATTGGCAAACATTTCTGTGTGTAGATTGATGAGATTTTTATATTTTTGTAATCCATTTTAGAACAAGGCTGTAACGTAACAAAATGTGGAAAAAGTGAAGGGGTCTGAATACTTTCCGAATGCACTGTATGTGAATTATAGTAGAGTTAACCAGCATATTGGTGTTGAGAACAATGGGCGGAGGCAGCAGGGGAATTAGGAGACGAGAAAACAGCCCTTGCCTTAACTGTCTAAGAAAAGTGAGAAGAGAGGAAGACCCAACTTATTTAGGTCTATAATCAATAGCCTAACTGTTAAATGTGCCTGGCTTTATAAATCATCCATATATATCTACGGAAATAAGACTGATCCTGCTTCTGTTGCCTTTTTGAGTGTTTGTTTAAAAGCCTACTGATTCCGTGAGCACCAAGCCTCACGCAACCACAACATGTCGGATAAACAATCCAAGTTTTTAATCTTTGCTATGCTGTAATAAAGGCTTTACACTTTTTTTTTTGTTAGAACAGCCTCTCTGGTATTATATATAATTAATGTAGTGTCCAAATTGTCCGATGTCACATGTGTCACATGTGTTACGGTGTTCGGAGTATGTTATAACCATTTTATTGATGTGATTATGATATGCTATAGGTCAGGTCCTATTGGTCACGTGCATTCAATGCATACATGTGTCACGTAAAGAGAGCAAGGGTTGAGGGAATAGGAAATGTTTTTTCCTTAAGAAGTGAAGGATTTCGGTAACATAACTTTTCAGTCAGAAATTGCAGCTTCAGCATTACGGACAGTGCGATAAACACTGTTGATGTTCTGTGGTGGTCACTGCAGCAGGGAGGAGAGAGAGACAATGGGTTCTAGTCACACAGTCACTGTGAGCCCGGCCCTGCGCAATCAAATCAATTGCGGTCGTACTCCCTCTAGTCATTTGTGTGTCTTAAGTATTTCATCAAACAGTGCATAAAAGCAAAACAGTGCTTAAAGCATCAGACAAGCTCAGTGCATATAGTTGATATGATTAAAACAAATAGGATGTGTCTATATGTGTGTAAAAATACGCATTTTAAAATGTCACACAATCGATTGGTCAAAAGAGCAGACGACTCTCGGTCGACCAATATTTTATTTTGTCGGGGACAGCCCTAGAGTGCAGTGGGGTGGAAAAGATCTTCCTGTCTTTGTGTTGAGCACAAAGCTTTTCAGACGAGCCAGAAAGCATGGCCCAGAATCCATGGCGAGAATGAGTCCAGCTTAGCTGGCCTACATTTCTAGACCCATGAGACTTCACGCATTATAATAACGAGAAATGAATGTCTGTTTACAGTAATGTCTGCCGCTTCCAAACATGATCTTTATTGAGGTGTTGATGCTTTATTATCCTTTCCACCATACTGCTTTTGTTCGATGGCACATGGCACACACATACACTGTACATTACATCAACTGTGCTATCCTGGTCCTGTGATGTCCTTGTGTCTAACAAAAGACAAAACGGACATAAGATATCAGATGGCATGAAACAGAGCATATCAGTGAACCAGCAGAACTCAACCACCTCACTTCCTCTTCATCTGACCCTGCATGTTCATATGTCTCCCAGGTCAAAGGGCGTGACCTGTCCCATCTCAGCCGCCGAGAGGCGTTGCAGTTCCTGGGGGACGGCTATGAGCAGCCAGTCACTATGCAGATTGAGGGGAGGCACCGGCGAGGGAGAATGCATCATCACTCCCAGTACCCAGTGTCTGACTGCGGCACCCAGACGGAGCGGCAATCCTGGGAGGCTCTGAGGGCCCTAGAGGAGGTGGAGGGGGCTGGGCCTGGCCTCGGTGCCTACGCTTCTGGGTACGTGCTGCTTGGTTTGGGCCTCTCTAGCGGTTCTGTGTCTCTTTATCTGCTTGTGTATGCATGTATAATGGCAGATTAATAGTGCCCCAGTTATATTGAACCAGTGAAGTACAGCGATTGAGGCTCTGGGTTAGGTCATTTAGAGTATAGCCGTGAGATGTATACAGAAGTGGTGTTAGAATTGAATGGAACCAATGACTGGAACTGGTCTAATGTGTAAACATAGTCATTTACACTTAACATGCCTACGGTGTGAAACAGCCATGTTTTCATATGTAATGATCTCATTCTTCACAGACCTTACTATGATCACATGACCCTTCCACCAGAACTCTACGCAGCCAATGGATACCTCCCCAGTGTTGCCTACAATCTGGAGGACATTAACAGGATAGAGTATGATGATGTGAGTCATTCTGCTTTTACAGATGTAGGATATTAATTTGAGCCAGTTTGCTACAGCAGGTAAATAATCCTGCTGCGACAGGAAATGTTAATTATTATGTGGATTATAATGAATGAACATTTTTGTAATGGTTGGTACATTCTTTGTAAGGGAAAATCAAGTCTACCATTTCTAAGTGGAAATGACAAGCTTCAGAAGTATTTTTAAACCTCAAATACACAAGCTTTACATTTCCTGCATTGTAGGTAAGGTCTCCTGCAAATTAAGATCCTACATCTGTATATGAGTATAGCCTAGCTTTTGTACATCCCATTGATATCTATCTAAGACTTGTGTATCCACTCCTTATGTTCACCTATACTGTTAGGATCCAGAGATGATGAATAACCAGCCCAATAATAGGAGCTGTCTGATTGGCTGCTGTAACACTGATAATGATGAGCCTAGCAACTTCCTGAGCCAGGTACTCTAAGAAATAAAATGATAGACAAATGTTTTATATTTGAACACATGGTCATAGACATTCACAATTATAACAACCAATGATATTCATAGTTTCTTCCATCCTCTATTTCAGAGTGAATATGAGGGCCACTGGCTGGACAGGCCTCTGAATTACCTACCCCTCCACGAGCTGGACAGTGGCCTGGGCTGCACTGACGGCAGCCTCCACCAGGGGGACCTGTCTGACCCAGAGACAGAGGAGGGGGTAGAGGCCCCTATGTCCTCCCCTCCAGGAAACACCAGCCGGGGAAGCTCTCCCTCCTCTGAGTCCCTCCTCTCATCAGAGCTCAGTGACTCTGGCTTCCACAGCGTCAGCACAGGGGAGTTCCGCCACTTCCAGAAGATTATAGATGGGAGGATCCACAACTACCGGAGCCGCGTCGTGCCCCGGGAGCAGAGATCAAAGTCTCGCTGGGACCTGGAGTCCATCCCTGAGACCCTGACCTGTGACCCCCAGGCTGGCAGAGCCCCAGACGGAGCTCACACAGCCATGACCCACCAGTGCACCATGGGTAGTAGCTCCATTCAGTTCCGCAAAGCCAGGAGCCCCCAGCTAAGCAGGCATGGTACCGGGTCTGCTCCTAGGGTTGCCTCCAGCTGCCGTACAGAACCCTGCCAGAGGAGAGCACTGATGCTGAACCAGCACTCTTCTGAGGACCTCCCCAGCCGCAGCCACACCGTGCATGACTTATCAGACAGGAGACGGGCCAGCCACCCAACCCTGCCCGCTGGGAACACTGCCACAGGGAAATACAGACACGTAAACAGACAACCGCCCAGCAGCCCAAACCACCTAGCCGTGCCCACTGAGAACTCTGGCACAGGACAATACAACAGGGGGTTCAACACAGACATCATTGAGAAGAGGAGAAGGCCGCTGAGTGACCATGTGGAAGGCACCTGGCAAGGATGTGTGGGTGACCACAGAAGCAGTATGGCCAGTGAGGAATATAACAGTGAGAAACAGGGTCTTTCCAAGAGTCCCTCAAAGAAACAGCCTGGGAAGGAGCCAGCAGACTGGCGTCAGTTTGCGACACTGGGACATCCTCACATTGGTGGGAACTGGCCCCAAGCAGACGGCCCCTGTGGTCCCCTCTATAGCACGCTGGATGGGCCCTCTGCCCGCTCCAGGAGGGGTCTCTCTGGGAATCCCCGGGCGGTGAGGAACCAGCTCCTGAAGGCGCGAGCCTCCCGGCTGGCTGACGAACGCAGTGAGGTCACCACGGACGAGGAGGCCCGCGGGGAGGCCTGGGCAGGCCGCTACTGGAGCAGGACGGAGCGCCGGCGCCACCTGGCTTGGGCCCGGGAGCAGAGGCAGAGAAAGCTGAACCGTGGTGCTGAGGGGGCAGGGGAGAATGGGGCTGCAGGTACAGGGGTTGCTGGGGGCCTTGGGGGTGCAGGTGGTCCTGGAGGAGGCTGCAGCACGGTGCTGGAGCTCAGCCATAGGAAGCAGAGCCGTCTGAGGAACCATAAACTGCTGGATGACTGGACCACAGTGGAGGAGCTGCTGACCCATGGGACACGGGTGGGGCAGGGGGACAACATCCTCTGTCGCAGCCCTCTGTTGTCTGTCACTACAGTATAATGACACAGTAAGATACAGTGTGTGTGTGTGTGTGTGTGTGTGTGTGTGTGTGTGTGTGTGTGTGTGTGTGTGTGTGTGTGTGTGTGTGTGTGTGTGTGTGTGTGTGTGTGTGTGTGTGCGTGTGTGCGTGTGTGCGTGTGTGCGTGCGTGCGTGCGTGCGTGCGTGCGTGCGTGTGTTTGTGAGACTGATTGTGAAGATGGTCACTGATATGACTATAGTTTGACTATCTCTTGTTCTCCACTTATGTTCCTGGACACAAACCTACAGCAGTATTAGTTTAACAGACAGGACCAATGGCAGCATTAAGCAATCCAAATGGTATTATTCACTGGTTACTTTAAAGCTAGCTGCCTGGATTTTGGGTTAGCTACTGCACAGAAGATATAGCTGTGTTTTAATGGTGGTGACTCCTTTCATCAATATACACTTTTTACAGTTAAATACAATCTAATTTGCTTGTTTGCCCAAAGAGTGGATATAACCATATCACTGTAATTCAATCAACAAAACATGTATTGGAAATAATTTCATATCATTGCATCACATTTGGCTAGCTCAATGTGACCTTGGTTTAAACCACATAGTTGTAGTGATACAGACTTTATATTTTGTATGAAACCTCAGGTAGTAAATATCTACTGCACAGGGACAAGAGTCCCATCTTACATGAGAAATGCCACCTTACACTTTTTAGTTTCTTTTTGAAGATTTTAGTTGAAAACATTCACAGTAAGGTACTTCATTTTTACCCTGAAAATGTATATTGAGATAAAATGGCTGCATTGGACCTTTAAGCACCATCCTTATTTCCTAAATCCAAATGTTACTGTCCCACTTACTATACACTGCCAAAGGGCCATGGATTTCAAATGTCACATGGTGACAAGAATAATCTATTAATAATCTTCAGTGTACTAACCCCCAATTATTTGTCCCTTCAGGCAATTACATGTATACTCACATTATACTCTGTACCAAATAGAAATATGGTAAGCTGGAAAAGTTAATTTCAGAGTGACAAAGTATATTTCTAAAGTAAATGAATAGTCATTTCCTATGGAATGAGAGTTGAAACTATGGCCTACTCCCTCTATCCAAACATAGTCTATTTTCTTTCACATTATTGAGCGATGTCATGGAACAGCCTGCAACGCGGATTTGTACCAGTAGGTGGCAGACACAGACAACCATTTTTTATTAAACACAGCACACTTTTCATTCAGTCTTGGTAAATACTAGGTTAAATGAATGTCACCACAAATTGAATATGTTTTGTATGTAAAAACAATTGTTGTATTTATTGTTGCATTTGATTTAGCATTTAATAAAGGGTCCCACTTTATTGGGATAGTTTATTTGGATAGAGCATATATCGATGGTCTGTAGATGCTCAAACTATCAACCACAACTCTGCAGGGTTATGGGTAACAGCTGAGGTTAGGGTTAGATATATGGCAAGATTAGGGTTAGGGTCAGGGTTACTGTTAGCATTACAGCTATAGGTACAGTGGGGGGGAAAAGTATTTAGTCAGCCACCAATTGTGCAAGTTCTCCCACTTAAAAAGATGAGAGAGGCCTGTAATTTTCATCATAGGTACACGTCAACTATGACAGACAAATTGAGAATTTTTTTTCCAGAAAATCACATTGTAGGATTTTTTATGAATTTATTTGCAAATTATGGTGGAAAATAACTATTTGGTCACCTACAAACAAGCAAGATTTCTGGCTCTCACAGACCTGTAACTTCTTCTTTAAGAGGCTCCTCTGTCCTCCACTCGTTACCTGTATTAATGGCACCTGTTTGAACTTGTTATCAGTATAAAATACATCTGTCCACAACCTCAAACAGTCACACTCCAAACTCCACTATGGCCAAGACCAAAGAGCTGTCAAAGGACACCAGAAACAAAATTGTAGACCTGCACCAGGTTGGGAAGACTGAATCTGCAATAGGTAAGCAGCTTGGTTTGAAGAAATCAACTGTGGGAGCAATTATTAGGAAATGGAAGACATACAAGACCACTGATAATCTCCCTCGATCTGGGGCTCCACGCAAGATCTCACCCCGTGGGGTCAAAATGATCACAAGAACGGTGAGCAAAAATCCCAGAACCACACGGGGGGACCTAGTGAATGACCTGCAGAGAGCTGGGACCAAAGTAACAAAGCCTACCATCAGTAACACACTACGCCACCAGGGACTCAAATCCTGCAGTGCCAGACGTGTCCCCCTGCTTAAGCCAGTACATGTCCAGGCCCGTCTGAAGTTTGCTAGAGTGCATTTGGATGATCCAGAAGAAGATTGGGAGAATGTCATATGGTCAGATGAAACCAAAATATAACTTTTTGGTAAAAACTCAACTCTGCGTGTTTGGAGGACAAAGAATGCTGAGTTGCATCCAAAGAACACCATACCTACTGTGAAGCATGGGGGTGGAAACATCATGCTTTGGGGCTGTTTTTCTGCAAAGGGACCAGGACGACTGATCCGTGTAAAGGAAAGAATGAATGGGGCCATGTATCGTGAGATTTTGAGTGAAAACCTCCTTCCATCAGCAAGGGTATTGAAGATGAAACGTGGCTGGGTCTTTCAGCATGACAATGATCCCAAACACACCGCCCGGGCAACGAAGGAGTGGCTTCGTAAGAACCATTTCAAGGTCCTGGAGTGGCCTAGCCCCATAGAAAATCTTTGGAGGGAGTTGAAAGTCCGTGTTGCCCAGCGACAGCCCCAAAACATCACTGCTCTAGAGGAGATCTGCATGGAGGAATGGGCCAAAATACCAGCAACAGTGTGTGAAAACCTTGTGAAGACTTACAGAAAACGTTTGACCTGTGTCATTGCCAACAAAGGGTATATAACAAAGTATTGAGAAACTTTTGTTATTGACCAAATACTTATTTTCCACCATAATTTGCAAATAAATTCATAAAAAATCGTACAATGTGATTTCCTATTTTGTCTGTCATAGTTGACGTGTACCTATGATGAAAATTACAGGCCTCTCTCATCTTTTTAAGTGGGAGAACTTGCACAATTGGTGGCTGACTAAATACTTTTTTTCCCCACTGTATATTGTTTTACAATTTTAGGGTTAGGTTTGTGGTTAGCATTACAGCTGTAGGAACATTGTGATACCATTCTAGGGTTAGGGTCAGGATTGCTGTTAGCATTACAGCTGTATGTACACTGTAATACCGTTTTAGGGTTAATTTTAGGGTTAGGGTTGCAGTTAGGATTACAGCTGTGTGGACATTGTAATACCATTGTAGGGATAAGGGTTAGTGTTATAGCTGTAGGTGCATTGTATTACTATTCTACGGTTACCAGATTAAGTGTGTAACATATAGAAGATTAATGTAGTATGATTTAGGTTATGTGATTCTCTCTATCCTCTGACAAACTATGAACACCACAGACTCAAAGAAACTGAATGAGAGGTAGGCCATAGTGAGTATCTAATTTTACTGAAAATTCAGAGAGAGAGAGAGAGAGAGCGAGAGAGAGAGAGAGCTAATGGAGTTTGTGAAGTTTTAGCTCCCAATTTCCTAATGGGTGGTGAGGCAGCCAGGCAGAGCAGTGGAAGGCAGCAGCAGCTGAGTCTATAAATGAACGGCTCTGCTCCTCTGTTAGTTAGTCATCATCGCCATGTTCTCAGCTGGAAAAGCTTTTACACACTCCTCAGATCCAGACTTAGCATGTAGCCTATACCTCAACTGTATGTGTGTGTTTGTGTGTGTGTGCATGTGAGGATGCATGGGTGGTTGCGAGTGCAGCCGGGTACTCATCTTCGTGTGCATACAGTACATGCACATATTTACTCATGTCACTCAAGCCTAACAGTGGTCTTTGTCTTGTAATACGATAACAAACAATGCAACAAATAGATGTTAGCGTTGGATGTTAGCGTGGGACGTGGAATTAGGATAATAATCAGTGCTGGTGGAATTCATTCCATTGTTTGTGTTCATAAGTTATCCAGTCACAACCTCATGTTCTTTGTCTACTTTTCTGTTTAGGAAGAATTAAGACAAACAAGATACCCAGCAGTAGTGTGCATCGTTGAAGAAGTGTATCATCCTGTTGTATGATCGTATGTATCAGAAAATGATTGAAGCATCTTGGGAAGATACAGAGCAGACATTATGAACTCATTATCATTACCTCTTACTAGGAGGATGTAAAGACGTCCATTTTTCAACATTTGTCTGCAGACACTTACAACCTGTCTGTCTGAGTAGTTCCTTCGAGAACATGCAGTACTGATACTGAAATGTTTCCTCTTGTTTATCTACAGTGCATGAATAGTGTTCATTGTTTTAATTGCTTCGCCCTTAAATTCAATAGTGCAGACAATGGTTCAGAGGCTTTTATAGAATCACTCTGGGCTCCGGTCAAAGGCTCAGCACTGAAATGAACGGTGTACTGTACCCTACACTCTTTCTCCTCCTAATGTCCCTAATGAATGATTCTACCATCCAGCCATAACTAGATCTCAGAGTTTTGATTTTAAATTACCTCTAAAAACAAAAGACAACCTTGATATTTTGAAGAATACATAAGTAAAGCCCTGAGCATTGTGACCCTGGTATGATAGGATATTGACCTTAGCTCTAAACGTATGTATATTTGAATGACCTCATTTACAACCATGACATAAAGCATTTTAAACTATAAAAGCATCTAGAGATGTTGTAGTTTATTACTGTATACCTCACAAAGAACCAAATGATTCCCCAAAGTGCAGCAACAAACCCATCTGTTCATCACCCATAACTCCAGGAATAATCAAAACCGTACCAAACAAAACCAACCCAAATGTAAACCATTATTTTGATGTATGCATGAATCTTGACAAGAATGGAAAATGAACTATCAAGAAAACAGAATCAGAAAATGAAGCAGAAAATATGCATAGATAAGGATGCAGTTATTGGGGCATGACACATCTATGAATACATATAGAGGCCAGGGAAAGCCACAAGATGA